GAACAGTTAGTTAAGACTCATTCAGTCAATCTCCACCTGCAAAATATGATACTATTTACGTTTGGTTTTACCTTAAATTTATTCGTATTTTTCTTCATACCTGATATTTACAACCAAGGGTCGATAGGATTTTTTCAAGGTTATTCGTGGTTGGCGGTTGCCGTTGTTGGATGCAATTCAGTACTAGGCATCGTTATCACGATTGTTTACAAATATGCCGATGCCATAGTCAAAACATTCAGCACAGCGTGTGCCACTGGTGTTCTTCTAGTATTAAACGTTGTTCTTTTTCACATCAAAGCCAGCTTAACACCATTTCTAGGAGCGGCTGTCATATTTACATCCTCATATATTTATTTTATCAGTGCCGCCATATTACCTATCAGTACACCTTCAGAACCAAACTCAGTTAGAGACACTAACACGTATGAAAATATTGCGATCAAAAACGAACCTAATCAAGCGCCGAACAACCGCTGTTTTCGCTCATTCGCTACCATTGCAGTTATTGTTTCCTGCACTACCATATCCCTGTTTGCTTATATGTTATCGCCCCCTCTCTTTCGGTCCTTCAACGGAAAATACCATTTTCCATCTCCATCACATTTCTCAGAAAATCAATCTTTAATTCATCCAAGAATAATAAACATCGGCGAAATCCGACTAAATCGACCAATAGACATCTACGGAAATAATCTCTGCGACGACCAAACTCTAAATATGACGCACGTACTCATTAACTCGATTGCATGTACGCCTATCGTGATTTGTTCAAAAAAATTTATTTCATGCAGGTTCGATGAAGGTTTACAGAAGTTTCCGTCGCAGGGTACATTGAATATAACCGTAACGACACTGTCTCCCACTGTGCAACGAACCATCACTGCGAGTGCAATATTGAACTTCACTCGTCTGATGAGCTATTGGGAACAAAATGATGTCGTTCTACTCGTCCATTTTAATTATCCTTATTATCAACGTATCCCGTTCCTTTCAATTTATCGTGATATATTTCCTCTAGTCATTTTCACGGGGCCCGATGCACATCCCAATGTAGTTCATTGTCCCGAAGGACACCGCGGCATTCATAGCTATGAATGTTTATCCCGAGTAGTTTTACTTTATCCAAATCATACTAGTTACTTGATGGTACATTTCGACTTAGCTCCGGTATTCTACACTCTGGAAAATAAAAATTTGCAGTCAATGTGGCTGGAAAATCATACATTAGTTATTCCAGAAAAAGCAACAGGCTGGTGGTGGTGGACAACCGAATATGGTGTGGGTGCTATAAATGCGTTTTTCAATGATTTAAAAAATTCAAGTAAGAGTGATAAGCTGCACGAAAAGTACTTGAATACCTATGTGAAAAATGCTGGGGATAATCTGGCAAGTGGATTTGGTGATATATTTCATCTTCCAAAACGATTTATCTCCGACTGGTTAATTTTATCCAAGATGATGTTTAAACACCGAGTGTTTCTAGAAATTGCTCTTCACAGCATATGTATACTGCTAAATTCAGGAAGTACGTCAAAAGATGTTGATTTTCTCGTTGGCCAAGACTTTGTTAGTGCATCACCGTATTATTTCCGAGAACATCCTGAACTAAATTATGTGCATAGAATCGATCATCGATTGAAAGAACAACAGTATATAATCCAAGTGATTGTTCAAAGATCCTCTCTCTCGTCTACGCTTACAATCTTCTAGTCGCTATCAGCATAGAATATACGCAACCGTCAGCGATGAATACCTTTTTGACAGAACTTTTGTCAGTAAGACGAATATTTTATTGTACGATATCGAAAGAGGTTGAAGATATCGATCCAAGGTTGGAACCGGTCGAATTGAGAATGTATTTAACCTTGCTGTTAATACAAATGTCAGTAATTTCTGAGATATCAATCAACACAAGGAAACCGCGATGAGATATTTTGTTTTATGAATGACTCTTATGGGAAAGCAAGGGGGCCCTTTTTTGCAGCTGTCAGATCTGTTTGTACTAATTCCGAATGAAAGTACTAAAACGTTACTCCTCAGTCACTCAAAATTTGTAACAAAGTAATGTCACGAGTATTTATGAGCACTCAAGAACTTGAATCTTGTTAAATCGAGTACTCGTATAAGTACTAAAAAATCATGCCGAAATTTTAAGAGCCAGAAGGCTATTTTTGCATGTCTGCTCACATTCATCCAGAGAATGGTAAAATATGCATCCAATTTTATGGTTGTTTCTACGGTTTTTCAAAGTTGAATTTTTCATCAACGAAGTAAAATATTCTAAAATCGATACATGCTTTTTTCACGTCTACGATTAACTTACTTCTGGCAAAAAAGTTTGTTCAGTCGACCACAGTCATATCTGTTACATGTATCAACATGGCAATTGTTAACGGCGCAGTGTCTAAACACCACAATCATATCAATTCCAAGATTGTACGCATATCAAGTCTCGAATTTGGTCAACCCGATGCATCAGTAAACGAAAAGAATGTGTTAAATAATTAATTGATTTAGACATTGCCGCTTAGCATCGCATGATCTGCATCGTCTGATAGATTTTGACAGTACCATCTTTGAGTGTCTTCTTTCTTGAACCATCGGTGAGCTTCTTTCTGTATTACTAATCGTTCGTTCGGTTATGGATGCTACTCACTCATAGTAACGTCTCTATTAGGCGATTGGAGCTAACTAGTGAGATTATTTTGGTCATTTAGCTAGACTCACGTTGCTGAAAAAATAGGGCAATTCGGCACTCCAGTGAGCTAGCTTACTTATCTCCTGCGGTTTTTTCAGCTTGAACAAGAGAGAGAACACCAAGACGAGGAACACGGTTTTCTTGCGGGGAATACCAGCTATAACGTTACTACACATTCATGATGGAACACATACTATAGGAATACTCGATAACTACTTTATTTTCAAGAAAGTAGCAGCTTCAATCTGTGACCAGTCCGGGCACTTCACAACTTAAACTGGGAGAGAATTTCTGCTAATACAAAACCCTATAAAGATGATAGTTGTCTTCGTCGAGACAATAATGCTAGTACACTCTAAAAAGCAAAGTATTTTAAGCAAAGTAGGTTCTTTATTCGACTAAAAACGTTTAAGGGCCTCCCCTCAGAAATTATCTCTGACACCATGCATTCGATCTTGACGAAACTTTCCATAAATGTTCGGCACAATGAGTTACGGAAATGAAAAAATGTTTTGTCTCCAAGTCTTACGGTTTAGGAGTTTTCCAGAGATCAAGGTCCAAAAAGAACCCTGAACGGCGTCCCAAGATTTTTTAATATACTGCAGAGTTCGCGTTTGTTTTATTTTAAACTAGACACCTAACTACATCGACTGACCAGCGCCGATTTTTTCATTAAGCCTTTATTAATTTTCCAGGCAACTAACAATCTCCAAAACCCGAAAAAGCCTTCCAGGTTTTCTAAAAACCCTCCGTTCGACAAAAAAATAAGAAAATTCAAAAATCGACGCCGGTCAGTCGATGTAATTTCTTTTCCTCTTTAAAACAAAAAAAGAATGAACTCTCTACG